CGCCGAACCACCGCGAGTCCGTCCACCACTTTTGCCCCCGAGAGAATTGTCCTGAGAAATTATGCGTGTTATGTGAAAAAAAAAAAAAGATTGATCGGAGAGAAAATGAGACATGGGCATTTGTTTCTTAAAACAACGAGATACAACAAACAATAATTACCTATACGCGAAGTCGGCCCCAATTTACGAGAAAACAATTTACTGTACAAAGGATTGAAAGCACACATCACGCACGTCCCCGCAGATTTTCAGGTCCAGAAATCCCGGAAGATGTGCGACAACTTTTGCAGCTTCTCCATGGCTAAAGTTTTGAAGAGAGGGGAACTGATTTTTAGATCGGTTTCTGCTCTGGCTTAAGATTAAGCAAAGACAGGTCAATGTATTTTTGCTTTCAGTCGGTGGAGGTAGCGTGTGAAGGAAAAACAGAAAAGTACTTTTCACATCATAACAAAACACGCCATCATTTTGCTATATTAAAAAATAAATAAAATAAAAGTAAGTAAAATACAACACTAAAACGGTGTCGTTTGCACAATGTAAGAAAAAAAAAATAGCAAATGCCACGTGTCGACCAACGGAGAGGTCAAAAAAGGACACGTGTCGCGACCACAACTGTCTTAATTCGTTCATATAAGATATAAGATATATATATATATATATATATATATATATATATATATATATAAATAGACATAGATAGCTAATATTAAGGATAATGAGACTGAGGTAATTAGAATTTTGTTTGAATTTTTTATATCCAATTATCCAAGCACACCCCAATTTGATGTATGTATTATATTATAAGATCTGAGAAAAGAAAAAAAAAATCTAATAAGAATTTAAGTCGTGTTAGATCTAATTCCATGTGATGTATTATTTAGACCGAGATTAAAAAAAAAAAAATCTAATAAGAATTGAAACAAGAACACTTGAAATATACCAACGGGGCAAACCCTAGCTTATTCAATTAGTTCGCAATTCTCAAAATCAACACTCGTGTGATCCTCTGAACGCTATAAATCTCCAGTGCTCGTTGCCGCTACCACCTTCATCTTCCGCCGGAACTACTGCATCTGCTAGTTCTCCGGTTGTCTCCACCACTCCAGTCGCGGACGCCACCGTCTTCGCAACTCCGTCCCCAAATGTCTCTCCGTGCTCCGATCATTCTCAGCCACACGCCCCCCTCTATCTGGAAAATAACAGTAAGAACACGAACAATCTCATGTTTATGGTGCGGCACGTACGCGACGAAATCCTAGATTACTCTGTAATATCAACCAAAAACGACTGCTTCAAAGTAGTGCAAGATAGTGTCCCTTTACTCATAGGGGAAAGCCGTTAATTTGTTCATAAAGCCAATTATCGTGTTTTAGCGAGTTGCGACAGATGGCTGCTGATCTCCTGTACAAAAGATCCTAACTATCCATATTATCTTCTGTGGGACCCTAGCACCAACGAGGCCAGAATGCTTCATTGTTTTCCTTTGGCTTCCCCCCGTTTGACTGGCGTTTGGGCTTATGGGGTTGGGATCGATCCTTCTGGGCAATATAAGGTGGTCAGATGTCGAGTGAAAGACTGTTATGGAGCGAATCAACAAATCTATGCTGAGGTGTTGTCCCTCGGGAGTGATTTGTGGAAGGAAATTCATTATCCTTATCCCAGCTTCAGCTTTGACCACCGTTAAGGACTAGCAAAAATAAAGAACTAGTAAAATTAATTCGTATCATGTTCCTCAATTTCCTTTGATGATCAATAATAAATTTGACAAGCTTCATGTCCTTTAGTTTTTCCACTAAATTTCCAACATCCAGGTCATTCATTTGGTTCCACACTACATGTAATAACAGTCTTCTGTATTAACAACGATCATCTTTTATTTGGCCACTCTGCATTTTAACGACCTCTGTTTCATAATTTCAATGTTCAACTGAAATTAATTAATCAAAGTTTAGATGATACGAATGAATTTTACAATTGTACAAAGTTTAGATGCACTTGAAATGAATCTTAGCAGAGCTAATATTAATAGCAATTAATCAAATTTTGGTGTTAATAATTAATTAATCTTTGCTAATTAGTGGTAAGTCTGATATGACATTACAATCAGTGTGAGGAGCCGATCTCGATATTAGCTCAATAAATCAGTCTTCAAACTGCAAGAAGGCGCCTGCACATGTGCTAGAGTAGTACTACTGCAGGAGGTGCCTCTACTAGAGGCAGGAGCACAAGAGACAATAGAACATGAGAAATCTGCCTAGGGTTTGATATTTGATATGGAGTCACATTTGATGGATTTGGATTTGCGTTCGGCAGAAGGGAAGCTCTGAATAAAAGGGAAGACCAACAGCGCAGACCAATTATCATTATGGATACCGAGATTCTCATACTTGTCCGTCCCATAATGATAAAGTAGTAGATCAGTGATCACCCTTGTTGTCCTGAAGAAACACTTTATCATTCTTGTAGAGGCCCACTGCCCTACAAGCTACAAGGACATTGCATGTGGACACCCAAGACCAGCTTCCGCCATTCCATACCCAAATCTCCAGATTGAAAGGCTTAACTTCAACAGCAAACTTCCCATCAAAATCATCCACAATAGCTGCAAGGGAACCTTTAAACCCGACAAGGATAACACGGTCGAGCATGCTGCCATTCTTGAGCTTAGGGCTCTGATGTAGCACAGCGATAAACAAAAAGGGAACAAGATGAGAAAACTCAATCTGATAAATTATTTCATAAACTCCTTATCGTCTTCAAAAGGAAGAGACAATATACAGAGTCCTCCTAGGCTAAAATCCTAACTAGAGATAATATACAGAGTCCTCCTAGGCTAAAATCCTAACCTATCAAATAAATAGATTTCATATAACATGGATTATTCAACTCCTAATTAGGAAAAGGGGAAATAAAGCATAATAATAATAATATAAATAGGAAATAAATAACTAAACTAAGGACGGTAAACGATCATTTTTGTCCATAAATGCCATTGCGATCTCGTTTCCATCAAGCTCTCAGCTATAGGGATGAGAGTGTCCACAAACTTGTCATTAGCAAAGTCAAACGAAACAATGCTCATACACGCCGACCAATAATAGAAGCCGTTTATATGCAGAGAAGGATTTTGATAGGGGTCAAAGCTGGGACAAGGATACTGAATTTCCTTCCATGAATCACTCTCGAGGGACAACACCTCAACATAGATTTTTTTATCCCCTCCATAACGGTCTTTCAAGCGACATTTGACCACCTTATATTCCCCGGAAGGATCAATCCCGACCCCATAAGCCCACACACCAGTCAAACGTAAGGAAGCCAAAGGAAAACAATGAAGCATTCTGGCCTCGTTGGTGCTAGGGTCCCACAGAAGATCATATGGACAATTACGATCTTTTGTACAGGAGATCAACAGCCATCTGTCGCAACTCGCTAAAACACGATAATTAACTTTATGAACAAATTAGCGGCTTTCCCCTCTGAGTACAGGGACACTATCTTGCACCACTTTAAAGCAGTCGTTTTTTGTTGATATTACATAGTAATCGAGGATTTCGCCGCGTACGTGCTGCACCATAAACATGAGATTGTTCATGTTCTTACCGTTATTTTCCGGATAGAGGGGGGAGCGTAGCTGAGAATGATCGGAGCACAGAGAAACGTCCGGGGACGAAGTTGCGACGACGGTTGGAGTGTTGGAGACAGCCGGAGAACTAGCAAATGCAGCAGTTCCGGCGGACGATGAAGGTGGTAGCGGCGACGAGCATTGGAGATGCATAGCGTTCAGAGGATCACACGAGGGTTGATTTTGAGAATTGCGAACTAATTAAATAAGCTAGGGTTTGTCCCTTTGGGATATTTCAGTGTTCTTGTTTCAATTTTTATTAGATTTTCTTTTTTTATCTCGGTCTAGATAGTACATCACATGGAATCATATCTAACCTGACTTAAATTCTTATTAGATTTTTTTTTCTTTTCCGGTCTTCTAATA